ATATATATTTCCTTCTTCCTCTACTGATTCACTCGTCGGAGGGTTCACTGGGGGACTACCCCGTTCCCCCTTTGGACTTGCGTGCAGGTCATCTGGTGGAATCATCCGCCTGAGTCGGGACCCAAGGAGCTTGGACCAGCCCAGCCCATCCACCCGGGACGAACTGCATTATCAACTTGAAAAAAGAAATTAAGTCAAACTCAAAGTATAATACAAAAAGGCAAAAATACCCTTATAGGTGTGGTCCAATAGCTTCTCCGCTGTTGCTTATGTTTTCAAACCCCTCATCTCAGCTCCTCCAATAATACACAACCGATGAAACAAAAATTGCAAGAGCCAACATCTTGCCATACTACATTTTTCTTTTAGTAAGGTACAATACTATCCTTCATGCACATATCTATTTATGCAAGTGCATGTTTTTATTTTTAACCTTTGGATTCTGTAAATTTAACTGTGAATATAATCTTTTGTGATTGTTAATTTAGCAATGTTTTATTATTTTCTTTTGATTGACAAAGAAAAATTTCATTAACAACATGAAATTAAAAGTACATAAAGATGACATGCATCGAGGGAGATTTGGAAAGTATAATCTTTTATTATATACCTAATAACAGGAGGTCACCATCTACAAATGTATATATGTTGGCTTATCTACTACTATATTAAAAGTGTGAAGAAACTGTCATGTTTTTATTTGTTTTAAATCTCAATTTTACATTTTCAAATCTACTTATTTTTTAAAAGTCATGAAGAGTCTTATATAAATAAATAATTTTTTTTATTTTTTGTGTTGAACACTCAATAACGATATATCTACTTCCAAAAATCGTATATAAATATAAACAAATCATCTCCCTTCTTATTAAAAAAAAAAAAAACCATCTCCCTTTTTTTTACATTGATGATGATTGAAGAACAAAAAATAATTGCTCTTTCTTATTTCCTATGTCTACTTGTATACTGATATACATAATATTTATACTTATCCATTATGAATTAAATCACTGTGAATAATTGTGGTTGAATCTTGAAGTCGTATACATCCTGTGGGTGAAGGTTGGGTTGCTTGAGTTGGAATAATTCGTCGAAACCCGTGTTTTAGCCTACTTGGGAGTAGCAAACTTCAATCTATTTTTGAAACAAACGGATATGCGATGCTTTGTTCCAAATTAGGCAATCAAGTCTATACTTGTATGATGTGCGCATCACATAGTAATTCTAGGCTAATAACCGGAATAAGAGCACACAATGTTTTCAAAAATAGATATCATGGTTAGTAGAGGCCGATCTTTGATCGGGCGAGCGGGGGTGCTCACGAAGTGACCTTCCCCAATCGTACCCAAGTTCCCGAGCCGAGGCAACTTTGGTGATGACGGACACGTGGCCTTTGGCACCGAGTCAGGGTTTCCTAAATTTCCCCAAAATAAAATATTTAGGTGGCAACTCTGTATCTGACAAAGCAGTCCATGTTTGGCACTTCTTTTAAAAATCAGTTTTCTCAAAACGATTTGTCGGATTTGGACTCTTTGGTTCAGACTTAGAACCGTGATATTTTGAGAGTCCTGAGCTGTAGTGACCCCAAATGAACGGAACGGGAGCTCACCCTTCTGGGGCGTTCGGGGGACGTCTACACCAAGCAATTTACCAAATTGCACAAACAAGTCAACTCGACATATAATAATTTATCCAGGACCAAATACC